AGAAGGGAACCAGAAGATGAAGGGGAGAGGAAGAGGAAGAGGTTGAAATAAGAATTGTCGTATATTACGTATATGTACCAACTCCTCATGAGGAATGTCATTTTTATGTACTACAAACGTACTAATAAAAATAAAATTGAAAAAAATAAAAATTAAAATCTTTTGGGAATTTAAAAAATAAACATAGTGGTTATAGAGAAAAAGGAGTCCCTTTACACTCTTTTTGAGTATCTAAGTTAGTATAGCCATTTTGAAAAAGAACATAGAGAATCTTCAAAAATTTAGAAATAAAACTGCCTAACAGAGCATTGTCTCTATTGGACATACCTAAAGGAAATGAAATCAATGCCTTAGAGAGATAATTAAGTTACCGAGTTCACTGCAGCATTATTATTCACAGCAGTGATCATGAAAGCAACTTAAACGTACATCAAATGGCGAATGAATAGAGAAATCTTGTGTGCAGGTACATTCATGTGTGATGGAATATTTTTCAGGTTTGAAAAGGGGATATTGACCCTAGGAGACTATAAATGAAATTGGAAGATATTTTGCTAAGTGAAATAAACCAGACACAGAAAGAAAATTACTGTATGTTCAAAGTTATATGTGAAATTTTAAAATCAAACATCTAAAACTCTCAGTGCAAAAATGATAACTATGTAAGATATGACATAATATATCTGCTAGTTAGCTAACTGTATCATTCTTCATTATATATATAAATTTTGAAACTTTGTTTTTATCACATAAAATTTTATATCACTTAAAAATCAGTAAATTTTGAAAGTGTTGAATGATGGTTATGAAGAGCACAGAGATACGAAATGGGGAGAAGGATGTCAGTTATGTAGGTTGACTAAATCTGGAGACCACATGCATAGCGTAAGAATTATAAAAATACTGTATAATGAAGACTTTCATGGAGAGTAGATTTTACATATACACACATGCTCATGGTCATGCAAAAGAGATAACTGTGGAGACTAGTTGATACATTGTTATGTAATAATCATTTTACTGTGCATATGAATATTAGGATATTATGTATACCTCAAATACATAAAATAAATTAAACATGAAATCGTTTAAAAGAAAAAGATGAAAGTAAATTAAGTTTAGGTTATTTGTGAGGTAGAGTAGGTCAATTCAAATAGAGACAAGATAGTATTTTAAAAAGGAGGTATGGAATGGAATGACATTCCTTTTTTTCCTTTTTATTGAGTTTATAGGTACATTCTAGTTATACAATACAGTTACATTCATTACTGGGATCTTGTACCTTTACATGACAGGTCTTGGTTCTCATTTTTTCCCCTTGTCCCTGCCCTCCTTTCACCCCCTCCTGCCCTCCCCATTTACAAACACTTTATTTCCATTTTTTCATATTTTTTTTCTTTTCCCTTATTCCCTTTCCCCTACCTTTCCCACTTTCCCTACACCTTTAGCATTTTATTCCTATTTCACATTGTTAATTATCTCATTAGGATCTGGTGTACTATTATAGTTTTGAAAAACTGGAATGACATTCTTAGTGGAGGAAACAAAAACACTACATCCTGAACTTTAAATATAGATATCTGGCAAAATTACAATTTGTCTTGTCAACTAAGAGTTCAGAGACAACTTTTTTTTTTTTTTTTTTAGTGAGTCCCAGGTAATACTAGCAAATATCAATTTAAAACTTGCTTTCAAAACCATGAGTTCCTCTCTGGATTAAAACCTATTTTGCATACTTTCAGGTCTGGCTAACATTAATATTTAAAAATTTGATGGAGCACCAGAGGTAGGCACTTTTCTCTGTAGTGTAGAATCAGGGACAGACTCCAGCCTCTGTCTCAAATGCTTTCCACCCTACATGGAAATAACTGAAATTTCGAAGAACTGAAATTGGGTAGTCTTGTTTCTCAGCTCTACATATGTCTCCGTTGCTGACTGTGTGCCGTGTTCTGAACTCTTTTTTTTTATTATTGTTTATTGTTACATTTTAGATATACAATACAGTTACATTCATCATTGGGATCTTGCACCTTTACATGATATTTCTTGGGTCTTATTTTTTCGCCATTCCCTTGTCCATCCTTCCACCCCTCTTCTCCTCCCTATTTACAAAGACTTTGTTTCGAACTCTTATTTCTCTTTCTTCCTACATTATTCTTGCCTACTATTGAATAGTTTAATTACTTCCTCTTACCAAAAACAGATATCACTGTCTTCTGTATTTTGCCTAACCACAAATTTTGATAGTAGTTGCATAATATCAAGTAAGAAAATATAGCAACATTTTCCACCCCTTTGTAAATGGGATCCCAAGTAGTAGCCAGAGTCTCTTAATACCTCCATTACTTTCTCTCCTCGTACTGTATTCTGCATAGTTTCTTCAGGTATTTCTTCCATATTACTATTTTCTCGAATTTTATAGACTTTTACACTTACTACATGCATTGTTTCAAAGGTTCACAAATATATATTTTTAACTTTTAGAATTTGTTTTATTTTTAATATCTCTGGTCATTTTTCAGAAACTTTATATTTGGTCTTCCTTTAATGCACTGCTTTAATTTGTTTAAACAGATGCAATTTTCTGTTTACTGTCATTGGTCTTAATATATTTCAACATTTATAAACCTGGAAATTCTGATTTTTAATTGTATTTTCCTGTTGACTTATAAAGACTTTTTTTCTTATGTTTCTAGTGTACTTGGAATGTGAGCCATATTCTTTGAAACTTTCTCTGGGAAAATCATTTGAGACTTGGATTAGGCATAAATTCATCCATCATAAGTTTGTGATTCCTTTGCCATGCTCCTGGAAACACAACAAAACTTGGTATTCATTTTTAACTACCTCATTTGAGATGCACTCTGATTAGAATTCTCAAGGCTATCTTTAACAAAGAGGAATGTGTACCTTCAATCTTCCATCACACATTTTATAGGGGGTCAGTGTTTATATTTGTATTCTTTTTCTGAGAGTATTGTTTTTTAGACTTCTGGACTGTGTGAGTATCTGATTTTCAAAAAATCATCCTGATTCAGTTCTGTGTTAAATTTTTTCCTCCGTGTTTGGATATAACCTTAAATATACTTAGGTCTTAATCCAGTAGTGCTATCACACACACACACACACACACACACACACACACACTCACACCCCTTTAGAGAAAAGCTCATCTACTATACTTGTTTCTCGCCATCTAAATTTTTTAAAAATTTTCTCAATACAGATTAGCCATATATGAGAATAACAGTTTTATATTTCAGTCATCATTTAAGCAGTTCTTTTAAATTTAAAAAATGGATGAACTTTCCTGGGGATGTAACTCAATGGGAGAGTGTTCCCCACTACAGCAAACAAGCAAACAAAAAATGTAGAAATTAGCCATAATAACTATTAACTTTTACTTATTCTTAAGATAACTATCTACCAACTAATTATTAGGATTCGTTATTTAAGAATTAAGAAATATCATTTTGTCAGGAAGATATGACACGAAAAAGTATCTTTTTACAGATAGATTCAATATCTACAATGATTTTATCAAGCAATTATAAAATAATACTCTCTTAGATTACTTACTGTATGAGTAGTTTGTTTCTAATATGGATAATTTATATGTAATGTAAGCAATTACATTGCATCAGCGTTTTTTAATGTGACCTCAAATAGCCAACTACTTACTTTTGATGAGTACAAAATTATATTCATATTAGTTCCAAAAATAGAATTTAATATTTAGTTTTTCTTCAAATATCTTACAAGATTAAAAAACAAACCTTTGGCAAACTTTTGCTGAAAACACTGATCTGACTTTGTATATTACCATTTGTATAATTTATTTCTATATAAAGCCCCAAAATACATTACAATAATTTTAAATTATTTGTCAGACTAAAAATGTAGGCAGAACTGTTCAAATATTAATACTAGAGGTTAAGAATATTCAATATCACATTGTTATTAGCAAACAATTAATATTTGTAGCTCCTGTGTATGAGTGAGTATTAAAAATATGCCATCGTTCTGGGAACTTTCATAGATATTAACAATCATGGCAACCCTTGCAATATAAGCTTTCCTATTTGATATATGGGAAAAATTTTGGTCAGCATCTTAGTTCTGCCATGCAATATTTAAAAATTTGTTTTATTTGTTTAAGTTTAGAATTTATAAAACTGAAAGGAAGTATGACTTCCCTCCTTTCATTGCATACCCCTATGCACTTAGGAGCTATAGAAAGTAGAACTTTGTCACCAAGACTATAAAAAGAAAGTTTCAAAGCTGCCCCCTGTTGCCCTATATAGATGCTTGAAGTAAATATATATTGGTTGTGAAATTCACAGAACATCAACATTCATGGAGAACACTTCTGTTTTTTAATACAGGCCATGTTTTCCCATTCTTTCAAATATTTCAGTGAATGTTTTTTCTCTTGTGTATGACAACACTTAAATCAAGAATCAAAATAAGTCTATTATCAGTAAATGACTTGCTGTTTTGATACTACTGGAGGTTTATTTTCAGTGCATTCTCAAGACAAAAATGTATTAACTTCCTTTGATTATAGTGTACAATATCATTTTCTTCAAAAAAGTGAAACACTGGAGTCCATAGCTTATTTTTCATGCTTTTGTCTGTAATCTTCAGTGAGATAATGCATATCAAATTCCTAGAATGATGCCAGAGACATGGTGAACTCTGTTTTTCATTGTGATTATTAACAGATTTAGAGGACCTAATTGAATAACTCTAAAGGTCTCATGACTTTCTTTTAGAGTCCATTGAACTCAGAGCTCATATATTCTTACTAAGTAGGAGTAAGATAATGGCTCTCAGCATATAGAATGTGATCTATTTACTGGAATGGGTTCCATTTGAGATAAATCTATTTTTTTAAAGTTGTATAAAATACTTATTTTATTGAGTTTTTAGGGGGGATTTGATAAATTTTCATTGTACTACAATTGCACCATTAATCTTGCAGCTTCATCAACATTAATTTAAGGTTCTTTTTCATGATGCTGCTGATTATTCAACTCTTTCTGCAGCAGTTCAAGAGTAAGCCTTTTTGAGAAGTCTGCAAGTTCCTTCTGAATGTTTATAAAAGCATTATTCATTCTACGAACTTTTTCAGCATTTAAGATATTTATCTTTTTAAGATGAGTGGTGACTGGTTTTGCTTTGTTTTGGGATTTAAAGTTTTTTTTTTGGCTGGCTCTGTGAAATACATTTCCCGACTTTTGGCCTCTTAATTTGTTCTTGGCCATTGTCTAAGTTTCATCAACTTTTCACTAGACCTTTGATATCCTCGTGCCGCTGCTCAAGTCCAGGTGAGGACATCTGCACGCACAGGGTCCAGGAAGCTCCGGGGAGAGAGTGAGATAATGCTATTTTTAAAAAGGTCATCCTAAAACTACACTTTTCTCCAAATTAAGAGACAGAAAATCTTCCACTTGTAAAGAAAATTTATATACTGCTAAATTAGAACTCAGAGAAAAGTGGTTTTTCCCAGCCTTGAGTAATTCCCCTCCTTGTGACTGTTGCCCCTGTTCTGTTACAGATAAGATTAACAACTACTTTCCTGTAATTTTTTTTAGTAATAAAATTTTATCTTTTCCAAATGTACAGCTGGTTGAACCTGTTCATCATGCTTCTTCACCAGCAGCAGGGGCATCTCCACCCTTGGTGTTTCTGATATAAATAACTTGATCTCTGTGCTTTGAAACCAACTTGAAAAGTCCTTTACTAAGGAGCTCCTGAAGGGCTGCCCTGGCCAGTGACCCACATATCTTCATTCTCTCAGACGCTACAGCAGGCGTTATAAGCTTATAGTTGGGAACTTTTTTACAGAGTTTGTTCTAAGTAGCTTTATCAAACAAAACCAGGTTTTTGAGCTTGTCCCGAACTTTGCCTTTGGACCACTTCTTCTTTTTGGCCTTGCCCCCAGATTTGTTCACTGGGTCTTTGCCTATCTTGGCCGAATTTCCCGCATCTTTCTTGTTCTTGTCGTCCTTGGGTGGCATCGCCAAGCTCAGAGAGCAGCTGGGACCACTGCAGTCATACACTGCTAAATTAGAACTCAGAGAAAAGTGGTTTTCCCAGCCTTGAGCAATTCCCCTTCCTTGTGACTGTTGTCCCTGTTGTGTTACAGATAAGATTAACAACTATGTCCCTGTAAACAAGGTCCTGTGACTTCCTATTTTTACAGGAATCTGTTTTCTTTCAAAGCTAAATTACAGGGCCTGGGATTTAGCTCAGCAGTTCAGTGGGCTGCCTGGCAAGCGCAAGGACCAGAGTTCAATCCCCGGTACGAAAAAAAAAAAAAAAAAAAAAAAAAAAAAAAAAAAAAGTTACAAAGCTGTCACTGTATGTGTAACTGCCTTTGTCTCTCTACATTTACCCACCCACCAATTTCACATCAACCCCCTCTCACCAAATATAGAAAACTGTAGCCCTTCCTTTATTCTGAGCTCAGCCTTTATATGTGTATCTGCTGGGCTGGTATGCACCTAAAATGCAGGAATAAAATCCTCCTGTTTCATCCATTGGTCTCTCTGGTCTCTTAATATCATGCAACACTACTAGATAGAAAAATAACCAATGCAAACTGAATTACAGAATATTTGTATACAACAAGAATAATTTCAGAAAATACTAGCAATTAGTATTATTTGGCATTCTAATTCTTGCAGTTTCTGTGTTTATTCTTAGGAAATTAAATTCTTTAATTTCTGAATTACCTTTCCATTCATCCATGGAAATGTGATGTATTTTTATGTGAAATTCTAGAATTTTAGTCTTACAAACACATCCAGAATGCCTAAAGATCTATACCAAGAGAGAAGGTAAGAATGCTAATTTTATTTAGCCTTCTACACAATTACTTATATAAAGAAATGTTTTAAAAAGTTAATTTTTATTCCTAAATTTTATGGCTGATAATACTAAATTTTATAGCTGTACTTGCCAGCAAAAGCTAAACATTATTTGGACTCAAAGGATAAATACCTATTCTAAGAGGCAATATAATTTTTTCCTGTGAGGAACAGAGAAGAGGAAATTTGAGGAAATGGTCTCTACTTTTAGGTCAGTCTTCTAACATGACTCATTCAAAGCTTGTCGACAAGGAACTGTTGATATAATCATAGAAATAAAATCCTTCCCTTTCCAAGGACCTCATTGTAGAACATGATATAACTTTGATGAAAAGTAATGTAGTCAGGAAGAATAAATTTTAAAAAATATATAAGAACTGCCATAAAAAGTATGAAAAGAAGTGCTCTAAGCACCAGATTTGTTAAAGCAGTTTTATAGGGTAAGGTAAGGAAATGTTCCATTATGAAGATTCTGGTTATGGATGCCATGTCTTCTCAGAGAGAGGTAGCTAGGACAGGGACTGTCATGGGGGAGAAGCTTAGGCAATTGAATGGATGTAGAAATCAATAATCTAAAGACAAACAAGAGTCAGACATCTTGAAAGAAGCAAAGTTTTCAGTGTTAGAAATGTGAGAGGAAACAAAGCTTATGACAAAATTACAAATCAGTTGTTTACTTTAACATTGAATTGATCTAAAAGTGGTAGTTTAATTGCATATTACAGCTTTTAGTTTTTCATGAATTAATAAATTCAAATATGACAGTGAAAATGTTATCCCCTTGCTACATCTTCAAAATTTAGTGTACATTTCACTTGCATTTACTTAATTTAAAGTGGATTATACAACCTATGGTCACACTACCTGACTTGCTAGAATGCCCAGGTACCAAGACAAGTTATTTCAGTAGCTAAACTATGGGTGCTAATTTACCCAGCTTTCCATTCTGATCTTTCCAGCATGTTGGTTTCTCCTTACTCCTGAGACTTTTTGATTTTTTGACACAGGGTCTTTCTGTGTACTTTAGGCTGTCCTGAAACTTTCAACAATAGTCCTAACTGAGCCTCTCAAGTGCTGGGATTACAAGCTTGCCACCCCTGAGAATTCTGACTGTAACTTAAATTGCAATCTTTAGACACACAAGTTTCTAAAAAAGCTACTCAAAGACTAGTAGACGATTAGAAGAGCATCATGCAACCATAAACCCTTAGAAAAAGGGTCAAAGTCCCATAGAATGGATTTGCCAGTGCATCTTCCTAGTCAGAATTGTATGACCAGAAAGAAAAAGTGTTAGCCTATATAGCCGAAACTAAATAAGTTTCATTCCTTCAAACTTGAACCAGCAGCTTTCTAAGACTGAGGCCCGGTTGTAAAAAAGGCTCAGAGGAGCCTGGCTGTACTATAGTCAATTCAAGAATCCACCAATAGGCAAAAAGCATTTCCAAGTCACTACAGATTCAGATTTTGGAATATTTTTAAAAATTCATATCTACTGGTAATGAATCCAATGTTTCTGAAGATACAAGTTCATTTTTTAAATGTATGTAATGCAAAACATATATTTTCAAATTGTCTACTTTTGATACAAAATTATTAGACATGTAAAAATTCCATGACTTTTATTTATAAAAATACATGATTTTATATGGAAAATCCATATAGATTTAATTCTTAACATTCATATAGACACAAAGAGGCTTAAATAAAAGTGTGTACTTAAAGTAAATTAAGAGGCTTCTAATGGCTATGATAAAGTAGGTTTTACCAGACAACTGTGGTACTCTGGCCAAGATCAAAAGATGCAGAATGAAATACAAAAGAAAAAGATCTCTTTATAAGTCTTGAAATATTTCAAAAGCAACCAGAATAGAGAGGGAGAAATATTGGAAAGAAACCTTTGAGTCAAATTCAATACTGCACTTGACACCTTTCCCTCAGAATATCTGTTAAATATGTGGCTAAGTGCAATACCAGACTAATGTGCCCAGCAGAAGGTGTATGCTAACAGCCAAAAAATCCCCCAGAACCTTAGGCAATTTCAGGAAGAATAAAGTTTCTACATGCCAAAAATGCCAGAAATTAGAAGTCCTAAATTCCAAAGAAAAGAGAGGTATAGGGACCTGGCATTATGCTTATATTTTCCAGAAAATATTTATTATTTATAAGACATGTAAAATAATTTAATTAGAAGTCCACACATAATACTTAGAAACTGAGTGGAGCTTTCAACAGACACCCCAGTAAAGGGAAGGGGAAAAATGAAGAGTACTCACCAACAAAAAAAGAGCCTTCATAATCATTGGTATGTTTCCCATGTTTTCCAGCACCTTTTCTCTTTCCTGTAGTGAAGTTATTTGGCTCCTTTGTCAAAGATGAGATGGCTGAGTACGTTCAGAGATGTTTCTGCACCTTTTAATATATTCCACTGATACTTAGGTCTGTTTCTTTGCCAGTACCGTGCTTTTTTTTTGTTTTTTTTTTAGCACAATAGCTTTGTAGTACAGTTTCAAGTTGGGAAATGTGATACCACCTACCTTGTCTTTGCTGCCTAGAACTGCTTCATAAATTATAAATTGCTTCATAAACCAGTGGGCAATCCAGACATATGCAATATGGTCAAAATATATGTGTATGTGTAAATTAGAAATAATATTGAACTGAAGACACATTGCCATGAGTCCCCTGAAAATATTTCCCTTTACTTCAAACACTCTTATCCCATTGTTTTTCTAGTTTCTAAAGCACTTCTGCAGCCCTCTTTTGTGAATGGCTTTATGAAGTATGATAAAAATATATAATAAATGTTACTGCTGAGTGCCATCCAATGGAAAGGCAGGCTGGGATGGAGCTCAGTGTAAGATCCATC